GAAATCAAATTCAGCCTCTATTTCAAATAATAATTTTATTAAATAGTTACTATGATAATACAATACAGTCTATTATTAATCATAACCACCTAAAAGTAGTACCTAATCTACTAATTATTAGTTAATCATTTTCTTATTTGTGTAAAAATCCTTGAATTTGAAGTCATAAGATATATTTATTATAGATCTATTAGCAAAAACTAAGTTTATGTTAATCTTTAGCTTCATTTACCTTTATTTATTTTATAAGATTTAGTATTTAAGCATTATCAACATTATACATGAAATCGAAATTAAAATGGTCAAAATAATTATGATAGTCAAAATGATCGAAATTGATTTTGACTATTTGTTAAAAATTTGAAAAGTCAAAATTAATTGTGAGGGTCAAAATTAATTACAAGCGTCAAAATCAATTGTGAGAGTCAAAATAAATAAAGCTGGCTAGAATTACGATCACGTGTTATTACACACATCCAAAAAAAAAATTTTTGTCCTTGTGAAAATTAAAACAAGTGTTGCCTTAAGGTATTACAAAACTTCTAAAAAGGAAATTTTAATGTCAATCATTTAATTCAGGTTGAAATAATAAAATAGAGATGAAATAGGTAAATTTTACCAGAATTAAGCGAAAAGAAGAAGTGAAATAGATAAATAGATTTTACCAAAATTAATAAAAAGTTAGTCTAGCTAGATATGGATATAGCAAGATATGAAGAAAGTGAATCACATCCCACAAAAAACTACAGTTTTTTATTCATCACCGTTTATATTACATGTGTACACAGCTATATAGATCATTTTCTTTTTAGGAAATACCAGTTTCACACAAATTTGTTTTTAATAATTTAAGTTGTTATACAAATATGTATTATGTAATCTTAGCTTCTAAATATGGAACTGCTTGCCTTATTAGAGTATGATTGATATTTCAGCCATCGTAATTGATTTTAACCCTCGTAATATATTTTGATCCTCGTAATGTAACCTTCATAATTAATTTCAACTTTTAATTTTGACCATGACCTTAAAGTCGAAATATTTCATTTTTTGCATTTTAATTTTGACTTCATGTATAATTAACATTGATCAATAGATTAATATATCAGTTTTTAACGCATATTATCATATTCTTCTGAAAATAAGCAACCTCTGAAAATAAACAATACAGTCAACTCTTAATATAGCAAACTCTTGATATAATGAATTTTTGAATAAATATAATAAAAATACTTTTGTTATAGCGAATTAGCCAATAAAATTTCTTAAAATCTTCAATATAGCCTTATAATGAAGTTGAGATCTAGGACATAGAGTTCGTTATAATAAGAGTTAACTGTACTTATTTTATATAAATTCTAAAAATAAGCAACACTTCGAAAAAAATTAAAATCTTTTTTTTAATAAAATTTTTTTTAATTTTTTTTTGTAAATAAATAATTTAGCTTTATAAATATATTTTAAATGTATTTTATTATTTACAATTTAAAAAAAATATTATGAAATTACAAATTATTAGTGTTTATTCTTTTTTATATTTAAATGAATATAAATTTTATATTTGTTTCACATTTTTGACCTTACGTCTAATAGTTTTAACAATTCTCTTCTGTTTTGTTATTGTACAGAATAAAACAGGTTAATAAATAAAATTCATTATCAAAAATCATATAATTTGATAGTTATGCGATCAAATTTCTTTCTTTTATTAAAATAAGTAACACTATAATAAAAAGTGTTGCTTATTTTTAGAAGAATATGGTATTATATATATTTACACATTCAGTTACAATAAAAATTTTATGAAAATCATTTAGTTTTATGTTGACTGAGACCTGAACTTATAACAATTATAGTAATAAGAGTTTAGTTGTTATCAACTGAACTAAAATATTATCTCTATAGATATTTTATATAAATATCTGAACACTAGAAGTCTAATTATGATTATGTATAATTTTAAGGTATCTCTTATGCTAAACTTAGATCCTTAAGATTATAACTAGATTCAAGTTTTAATCAGAATCCACTTATCAATATTAATTTAATAATTGCTACTTAAATCTATATCTTTAAAACTTATACTTTAAAAACTCTAAACTTTAGAATTACTGTCAAATTTATATAGAGGGATCAATACTAGCCATAAATACTTATGTTATTTTTTTACTATCTTTACTAATATTAATCAGTATTACTATAACCTTTGTCTGCTTTATTAAGGTATTTAATATATGATCAGAAAGGCTTAGATGAAATAACCTTACAAAGCTTATATTCTAGAAGTTAATATCCATATAAAACTTAACAAGTAGATGGCTGTTGTACCCATATCATCAAATTTATCTAAGAATTAAATCTAACTTTTACCTTAAATGATGACTCAATTAGATAATACTATAGTAATATAATATAGTCTATTATCATCATAGCCATTTAAAAGTAATACCTAATTTACTAATTATTGATTAATCACTTCCTTACTTATATAAAAACCCTTGAGTTTAAAGATATGAAATAGTATTTATTACAACCTATTAGAAAAAGCTAAGTTTCTATTGATCTTTGATTTTATTTGCATTTACTTATTTTTCAAAACCCAGTATTTAGACAAAGTATTTTACATAAATTTTTTTAATTTTTCAGTAGTATATATCAGATTATCTTAAATACTACAATTGACTCTAGATACAGAGGGTCGCCAAAAGTCTTTGAATACTTTTTGGCTCAATAAATCATTTAAAATTTTTAAAATTTAATTAAAAAATTTATTAAATATTTATTAAAAATAATATAGAAAATAAATTTTATATTAATTAATTAGTATTTAATCAGGCTTCTATTTACTTCGACTAATTTTGATAGTATGTATGAAAATTTCTCTTCATGATTTTTTAATATGCCACTCTAATTCAGCAATATTAGAAGGCATTTTTTTCTTTTCACAAATGCTTTTATTGACATCAGTCTACAGATTTTTGAACAGGTTGATATTTGTTCTTGAGTGTTATAAAAGAACGTGCATATTATTTTTTGCATAAAAATTCTTTGTTACTTCATTTTGTGAGCTGAGTATTATCTTCCTGAAAACTACCATTACAATTTGAAAATGTATTTTAAAATATGATTTATTTAAATAAGGTTCAAAATGTCATATGATTGCAAAATTGCTAAGTCACATGAAATTGCCGATATTGAATCGCATCTAAAAAGTGATATTCAGAGACTTTTGGCAGCCCTCTGTATAACAAACCTACTTATTAAAATGGATATTATAATTAAAATGTTATAATATTTAATGTTGTAATATTATATTGAAATATTATATAAATTCTTTAATAATTATAATATATAATATAATTAAAAAAATGTTGCAATTTAAAATATAAGTTAATTAGTCATAACTTGAAATATAATTAATTACAAATTTTTAAGAAATAATTTTAAATATTAATTATAAATATTAATTATAAAATTTTAAATAATATGTATAGATCTACTTTTAAAAAAAAAGAAAGTATATACTGTAATTAGTATAAGAATCATTTAATTTTTTAGATAAACAAAAGCAAATGATAAAAAATTAATTTAATATATTATTTTCTTTAAATTCATGTGAAAAATACAATAATTTTCAGGAAAGTTATAAAATCTTTTAATTTGACTTGATTTGAGTTATATAAATTTTAAATTTAACTCAATTTAATTCAACTTGATTTAATTCAACTCAATTTTAACTTAAATTTATTTAAGTTAAATCAAATTGCAATCAAGCTTCAAGTCAAATTTAAATTAACTTATAAATATAAAAAATTATTTTAAAAAAATCACTAAAAATAAATTTATTTTATTTTAAAATATAGTATGATCTCTGATTGAGATCACAATAATGAAAGTAATAATAGTAATAAGAATAATAGTATAAATCACAGTTTTAATAATTGTAGTAATAAAAAAACTTTATTAAAAATATTATCTAGAAAAGATATAAAATTTAAAATAAAAAAATTCAATTAATAAAAAATAATTAAAATAAAAATAAAAATAAAATCAAAAAAAAATCAAAAAAAAATCAAAAAATCAAAAAATAAAAATAAAATAAAATAATTAAAAAATAAAAAAAACAAAAATAATAATACAAAAATAAAAAATTCAAAGAAAAAAAAGAAAACAAAAATATAATGAAAAAAAGAAAATGAAAAAAAAAAACAGGAGGGGGTAAGGTGAGAGGAAATAAAAAGAAATAAAAAATAAAATAAAATTAAAAAATAATACAAAAAAATAACCAAAAAATCAAAAAAATAAATAAAGAATAAAAAGAAAATGAAAAAAGAAAGAAGGAAAATAAAAAAAAATAAAAAAAAATCAAAAATTAAATCAAAAAATAAATACAAAAATAAAAAAAAAAATAAAAAAAGAGAGGAAATAAAAAAAGAAAATCAAAAAAAAAATCAAAAAAATAAGATAGAAGAAAAAAAGGGTGAAGATGATAAAGGGAAATAAAAATGAAATAATAAAAACAAAAAAAAATATAAAAAAAAAAATTAAAATTAAAAATTTTAAAAAAATCATTAAAAAATATCAATTAATTTAAGATTCATCTCCAGTTAATTTAAAATCAATTCACCTGAGGTGAATTTTACTTTGATTTATATAAAATATAAATTTTTTAAAATTATATAATGGTAAAATTCACTACTGGTGAATTAATTTTAAATTAACCAGAGGTGTATCATAATGCATAAAGATTAACTATTAATTTTATCTTATATATAAAAATGCCACTTTTCTTTTTTTAATTTTTCGTATTCTTCTTTGAAAAAAAAACTTCTTTTCTTAGTAATGGATATAATAAATACAATAGATAATATTGAATAGCTAAACTTTTCAGAGAACAATATGAAATTTGATGCCTTTTGTTCTAATCATTATAATAATAAGACAAATTATCTTTTCTTATCATATTCTGTACCTTTTAATAATAATGTAGACCTTTCATCCTATTCTGAATCTTTTAATACAAATTCTTTGCCACCTTGTTTTATTGAATCTTCTAAATCAGCTGAACTACTTTTTGAACTACTTTTCAAACCACTTATTGAACCATTTTTTGAACTAACTTCTGATGATAATATAGACCTTTTATTATCTTTAAACCTACTATCTAATAATAATTATCAATATAATCTTACTGTATGAGACTGTTTTGATGATTGGATATCAGTTGATATATTTATGTATCAGTATTGTTTAGAACATGATTTTAGATATTAGATTTTTCATAATGATAAAGACCAAGATGATCTCACTATTATCTGACGTAAATCATTTCGTTGTTCATCAAGTGGTAATTCTAAAGCTCAAAAGATAGTTAATCAGAAATTACATCACTTACATGATATAATATAAACAGATTGTAAATGGCACTATAACTTTATATTTCCAAAAACTACACATCAAATTAAATGTATAACTTTAGAAGATATACATAACCATGAACTAAATTCTAATCAAATATCTCATATTATTATTAAATATCGACAACTTAGTGAAGAAATGATATAAGACTTAAAGTTTTTTTTAGAATGCAATATTACACTAATTACACAATTAGAAATATTTAAAAGAAAATATCCAGAACATGTATTTTATAAGAAAGACATTTATAACACAATTTATAAGTTATACCAAAATAGTAATAATAAAAGACTTGATTCTACTTTACTATTAGATATTCTTTTTGAAAAAATGTCTCAAGATTCACGTTAGAAGGTATTTATTCAATATTCTGATAATGAGCATCAATTATCAGATGTTTTTTGAATATCACCTTTTCAACAGAAATTATACTAACGATTTTCTAATATAGTATTAAATGATAACATATATAAGATTAATAAGTATAATATGTATCTAATTGTATTATGATAAAAGATAATTATGAAAGATTTTGAAATGTAGCAAATGCATTAATTGAAGATAAATTATCTTCAATATATGTTAAGATATTATAATGTTTAGTAAAAGTAACAAATAATATGGGCGTGCGTCAGTTAAAAAGGGAAAAATCAACCTCCAATCAAATTTTGAGATTTTTAATTCATGTGATGAAAATTGATGATATGGTACATTTCATCTATACTCAAAAATAGTCCGAAAATTTAAAGTCATTTTGTGATTAATCACGTGATTTTTAA